AGATAGATAGATAGATAGATAGATAGATAGATAGTTAGTTAGATAGATAGATAGATAGATAGATAGATAGATAGATAGATAGATAGATAGATAGAATAATAGATAGAGAGATTCTCCAAAGTCATCTCTTTGGCTGACTGCATCATGACAGTTTGTCAATATTTCAATAACCAATATGCATACAGCTGTCTTTAGAATGAAAGAGCCAAGGCAGGCTGCTCTTATTATTCCCATATTGCAGATTACTGAGCTGATGGCCACTTTGCTCCCCCAGTATTTAACCAAGTTCTCAAAACTTGCATTTACATTATAGATGCAGGAAATACAAAATCACTACCCACACATGCTTTCCTTATGAAGAAATTCATTTTAAGGTCTGTGTTCCACTGTTCCAGGTGAATTCTTGGGCCAAAAAGAAAAAGAAAAGCATTGGGCAAAGCGGGTGAAAAGCAGCCTGAAGGAACAACGTGGCTGAGAAGGGGTTAAGACCGAAGAGGGTGTGGATTAGTGTTTTCCTGTCTTGACAGCCTGTATATACAGCAGGCAGACCAGCTGCCGGCTGGCTGAACGGCATTCATTTCCCTTACTTGCCTCAAAAATCTTCTGGTGCTTGGATGTTATTGAAGATGCTGCCATGCTTTTAAAAGAGAGCAGAAGGTGAGTCCATGAACAGACCTGGTTACCAGCATATCGGGTGACTGCCAGATTAGAGAACAGCTAATTGGCCTCCCTTGGCTTTGCTAATGATCTTACTGGCTACGAACTCTCTTCCACTTCATTTGAATTACAGTAGACCAGCCAACCTTGGCAGTTTTAAGATGTGTGGCCTTCAACTCCCAGAATTCCCAGCCACCTATGCAGGATGGGGAATTCTGGGAATTGAGGTCCATGTGTCTAGAAAGTTGCCAACGTTCAGAAAAAGTGGGATAAACAGTCAGTTCAGGTTCAAAGAGAAAAGCAAAGTACATCTTAGGCAGCTCTGTCTGTAAGTTTTGGTGCTTAATTGAGGTGGGGGGACAGAAATCCCTTTATTGGCTATGTATCCATCTAGGCTTACATGGCATAATAGGTGAAAATGTGGCTGGCAGCTTTATATCTTGGTCTGTTTTGTGAACTTAATCTGTCTGTTCCAGGATCCGGTGGAAACTATAGCAGTTGTTTTAATCCCAGAAATGAAAGGTCCTGGGTAGAGTTGGACATGAATAGAATAGAATAGAATAGAATACTTTATTGGCCAAGTGTGATTGGACAGACAAGGAATTTGTCTTTGGTGCAAATGCTCTCAGTGTACATAAAGAAGAATAGAATAGAATAGAATAGAATAGAATAGAATAGAATAGAATGAAATAGAGTTCTTTATTGGCCAAGTGTGATTGGACACACAAGGAATTTGTCTTTGGTGCAGATGCTCTCAGTGTACATAAAAAGAAAATATACATTCGTCAAAAATCATAAGGTACAACACTAAAAGATAGTCATAGGATACAAATAAGCAATCAGGAAACAATCAATGTCAATATCAATTGTAAGGATACAAGGAACGAAGTTACAGTCCTGCAGTCATAAGTGGGAGGAGATGGGTGATAGGAATGAGAAGATTAATAGTAATACAGAGTGAATAGTTTGACTGTTGAGGAAATTATACAACCAATTTCGTTGTATTTAAGTACAGTGACAATAAAGATTATACTTAGTTGTTTGCTTTGACTGGCAGGGGAAGTGTTTACCTTTTTTTAAAGCCACTTTATGTGCTATTTTTGTACAATGTTATGTAGTCATTCACCCAAGTAACATTTTGACTGCAGAAATTTAGGCAGACTGGATCCTAATCTTTTAAAATAAGCTTTTTCAAGGGCTTTAGTAGACTTCTGTCATAACAAATCCGTCAAACCCATAGCCTAACTGTCCACAACCTTGCATCTTACATCTGCTTTGGATGATAATATCCATAATCCTTAGAGACAGTGAAGTGTGATGGATGCTGTAGCCCACTGAAGGGGAAGCAGCATGCCTGATGATCATGCCAAGGGGGCAGACACTAATCCACACATCCAAAAGGCATCGGTTTGGGGTAGATAACCCCCCAAATAGCACAAGATTCTTATCTGAGAGCCAACTCTTGAGACTGTGGTGGTGTGTTTCCTGTAGTGAGCAAGTGGCAATTCAAAATAAGCCTTTGGAGGACTCTCTTGTGGCTGATGTGGTGTTTGGCTTCTGGGCATATGTATCCCATTTGGTGAGGTCTGTACTTAAACCTCCAAATTTGGAGGGTGCGGCCCAGGATGGAAGGAGACTGGGAGCATCAGGCAGGCTTATTTATAGCTGTGAATCCAAGAGGCAAAAGTTCAGTAGAAATTCGTTCTGTAACCTGTTTTTGTAAATCCTCTTCCTCAGATCCACAGGTCTTAGGGAAAGCTGGCTTCCTGGGGAGGGGAGTCATGACATGGCTCTCTTTTGAAACCCTGCCGTACATTATGTGATAGCAAGATGACCAGGTCTCACAAGAAATCATGGTCACCATGGCTTTTTGATATGCTACTAAAGAACGTAAAAACTCAGTGATAGTTTTAATTTGGGAGGAGGTATTTTTATGGGGTTCCTCTTAGCTGTCAAAGGGATGTGATGGCTCAGTGGCTAAGGTGCTGAGCTTGTCAATCAGAAAGGTCAGCAGTTTGGCAGTTTGAATCCCTAGCGCCGCGTAACAAAGTGAGCTCCTGTTACTTGTCCCAGCTTCTGCCAACCTAGCAGTTCGAAAGCACGTTAAAAATGCAAATAGAAAAAATAAGAACCCCCTTTGGTGGGAAGGTAGCAGCGTTCCGTGCACCTTCAGCATTTAGTCACGCCGGCCACATGATGTCTTTGGACAGCGCTGGCTCTTCGGCTTTGAAACAGAGATGAGCACTGCCCACTAAAGTCGGGAACGACTAGCACATATGTGTGAGGGGAACCCTTACCTTTACCTCTTAGCTGTCAGTGAGCCAAGTTCCAAGAAAGATTGAGCAAGCAAGTCAAGCTGCCTTTTCGATTAGGATCACCACAGAAACTCTCTTTGGACAGGACTACCTCCCTAGGGCATGTCTAATTCCCCAAAGGAGAGTCTCTGGTTTGTCCCCACAACTGGCAGCAAACAATGTTTGATTAGGTCCATAACGCTAGAGATATGATGTTATTCCAGAACTTTGCAGAGTGAATGGCTTCAGGTGTTTTTGGTGCACCAGAAACAAACTCCTTGATGTTTGTTCAGGTCAATCATTAGTTGTGGACCAGGCCAAGTTGGGAGCTCAGCTGGGTTCCCAGAAGACTGTACAACTACGTCAGGACCTCTTTTGAGGGGGAAGGGGCTTCTGAGACTCATGTGAGCTTGTTTTCCAAGTAGAAATAGCAAATGTTGAACCTAAGACATCCTGCCTTCAAACAAGGTTGAATGCTTTGGGGACTTAAGAAAAACATTGCAAAAGTACTTGAGGCCCAAATAGAAGTGAAAACATATATGCAATCACTCAACAACAGATTCATGTTTTTTAAAAAAAACAAATTGCAAAATACAACAACAACCTGACCAAAATATAAAGTATACTGTTATTGCAGTAAACAGTTGCAATTTTTTTTATAATTATCTAATGCAAACATTTGCAAAATGTTTGCAACTAGGTATATATGTATGGATATGTGTTTGCGTATGGGTGTATATGTAATAATAAATGCATGTATTGTTACAGGGGTATGGGTAGTTCTCGACTTACAACCTTTTGTTTAGTGACCGTTCAAAGTTACAACCGCACTGTTTTTCACACCGACAATGATTGCAGCATCTCCATGATCATGTGATCAAAATGCAAACAGTTGCCAACTGGTTCATATTTATGATAGTGGCAGCATCCTGGGGTCATGTGATCGATCACCTTTTGTGACCTTCTCACAAAAAAAGTCAACGGGGGAAGCCATATTCACCATGTTATTAACTTAACAGCTCCTGTGATTCACTTAACAACTGTGGCCAGAAAGGTGATAAAATGCTTAACTTAACTGCTTAGCAACAGAAATTTTGGGGCCCCATTGTGGTTGCAAGTCAAGCACTCCCTGTATAAGACTGTAAATATTGCTGCATAATTGTAGTGAACCTCGGTTCCCATTGGCCATATTGTCGTTCAGAAGTATTTGAAGGTTTGCAGGTGAGACGAAATATTACTTTCTTTGATTAGAATAATAGGTATGAGAAGACTTTTATGTTTCTTAAGAGGAAAAGTGAAGCAATGCCTCATAGGAGTTATGTTTTCAGTCATCTTTCATCTTTAGAGAACATAGGAAAAGATGAAAAGATTTACAGCTTTGGGACTGTCAACCTGTTTCTAACCTAGAATTTTTTATCTGGTTTGGAGAGCTGCCAGGCCAATATCTGCAAAACTTGGCAAGGCGTCTCGGAAAGTCAGGAACCAATTAAGCGAACTAATGGTCTCCTGCAAACTCCACTCCCCTTTCGCTCCTCTTTTATTTCCTCTGGGAGGCGCCATTCGTGGTCCACTTGTGGTCTTACTCCCAAGTCGACCCCTGTTCTTTACTTGTTCCCTTCGTTTGGCAACTCTGTGCATGCGCACACTGGGAACAGGCTCCAGCTGTTCATCTGCCTCACTGATGTCTGACTCTGAAGGCAGCTGATAACTGGCATATGGCCTGGCCCCCTTCTCTGCCTCCGACACAAAGCCCTCATCAGAGCCTTCTCCAGACTCCAGGACTGACCCATGTTCCTCCCTAGCCTCCCCATTGTGCGAATCTGCTGGCCACTGGCGGGCCACAATAAATCAAAAAAGGGAATATGGCCATCAACCACTACCCAGGCAAAAGGGGAAAGAAGAGAGAGAGCTTAGGAAAGTTGATATAGAACAGACAACACAGAAAATGGCTCCCTTGTTTTTCAGAGGGGGGGGCAGTGGGTTCAGCACGTGGCTTCTGCTTGACTGGTTAGGAACAAGTGAAGAAACACAGTTGTGCAATGACTGAAATTTCACTTGGGCGTCTCAAACAGCTGACTAGGTTCTCCATCCTGCAGCAGTTTGTATGCCAAAAGGCAGAAGAGCATCTGCAATCTGTATCAAGACTGAATGGGACAGTTATTAGTCCTATTATACAGGGAGGGTTTTACTAGAGTTTCATCTGGCTTTTATTACTATAGACGTAATTCAAGGTTGTGAACATACATAATACTTCTTCTTCCTCACCTTATACTCCCCATAACAACAACCCTGTGAAGTGGGTTGGGTTGAGAGAGTGTGCTTGGCCCAAAGTCACCCAGCCAGCTTTCATCCTAAGGAAAGACTAGAACTCACACTCTCCTGGTTTCTAGGCCAGCATCTTCACCACCACCATTTGTCTGAATTGATATAGGGTTTCCTGCCTAAGCAGGGGGTTGGACTAGAAGACCTCCAAGGTCCCTTCCAACTCTGTTATTCTATTCTGTTTCCCAAAGCCAAATGTTTCTGGGTTAGTTATGCTAAATGTTGGGGGTGAATCCATTTTAGGGATCAATTGGCTCCTGCGGAATATTAGATGGACTTTTCAACACCATTTGCTTCTCCCTTAGTATATAAATAAGGACGCAGTGGCTCAGTGGCTAAGACACTGAGCTTGTCGATCAGAAAGGTTGGCAGTTCGAATCCCTA